AAATTCAAACTTTGAATGCTTTAAAACAAAAATTATGCATAATATATATTATATATTTCTTTTATTTTTCAACTGCTATTGTAAAAATATGATAGGAGCCTTGTATTAAATTTTCAAATCTTAGATTTAAAAAGAAAAACTTTTATGAATTTCTATCTAAGATAATTTGAACATTGCCGTAATTTTTACGTATTTAGTCGATAAATAATTTTCGATAAAAAATCGAAAATTTCAGTGGTCTATAAATAACTCAAAAAAGTAGAACATTTTTGAAAATTAAACTGTATATAGATATCACTAACAAAAACATTTGGTGAAAATTTCAAGTATTTAAAGTGATTAGTTTTTGAATTACAACCATATAAAAATATCGATCTGGTCGAAAACTGGTTTTGCGTAAAAATTCATCAGATTTACAGGTTGGATATTTTTAATTTTGATTAATTTTAATTAAAGTATTAAAAATAAAAAATGTTGTATTACCTACATATAATATAAATGAAGAAACGCAGGCTTATAGTAACACGATTTATTATACTTGAAACTTGAAACAAAAATCATTACATTATAGACCCATCACGTTCAGACGAGCGTTACTCACGACACGCGGCACTCGAGCAGAACTGTCTGGTAATCACTAATTACTAAAACCCACTCTACAGTGATCTCCCTTATCACAATATTTGCTAATATATATTGTATATRATAACACATATTATAATTTATAATATGTAGCGTAATCGTCAATACATTATATATGTATATGAAAACAATYTTTAAAATATATTGTTTAGACCTATAGTAATTTAATTTGTCAAGTTCTATTGGTTATTAGTAGGGATGAGAAGTTATAGGATTTGCATATTTTTTTTTATATCTCCTATTTATAGCTAGGTGAGCTAAAAATCTGTTCTATAACCTAATGAATTGAAATTTGGTATTTCAATTTTGCATATTTTTGCATTTATTGGTAGTTTTCTTAAAAGTTGCATATTGATGTTTTTTTTGTTTATAAAAATGCATATTTATTAAAATCATTTATTATTTTATTGAATTTTATAAGTTTGTAGTCAATAACCAATAACGTTTAATAGTATATAAAAGTAAATTTAGGATTAGTATCATTTATTATTTTATGGAATTTTATAAGTTTGTAGTCAATAATCAATAACATTCTACATTTAACAAAAATATTCTTTCGGATAATCGTTGGAGATTGGATGTCGAAAATATTAAAAAACTTTGGTGGTTCAATGCAACAAATTTACAGKTTAGGTTAGGTTAGGTTAAAAATTGTATTTTTATTTTTTTAGATTAAATCACATATTTATACCTAGGTAGTATTAATTTTTTATCACTCAGTTAAAAATTATTTATATTTTAATAGAATCAAATTTAACGAAATATAATTTATATTAATTTATTGTAAACATGTTTTTTTATTTATAGAAAAAATTGCATACCTATTATAATATATTTTTTGCATATATCATAATTTTGCCTTGCATATTTTGTCTATTTTAGCTCCTATTAGTTCTCATCCCTAATCATGAATATTTATTAGTCTTACATTCAGATCATAATGTTACCTAATACCATTTACTATTTAGGTAAAACATAAATATTTTTAATATTACATATTATTATTTATTATGATAAACGTACACGGTATAACTATCTATTATTATTGCTTTTAATAATGGTATAACAAAGTATAATCATCATTAATCATCGAAAAAACATTTTTGTGCGTAGTGGTTGCCGGAAGGAAGAAAATGCCAAGATATTACAGTAATGTTATTCTCTATAACAATATGGTGTTCGATGCTCATAGCTTGTGGAGTGAAAGCAGCAGAATTTTTTTTTAAAACAGATGATAAAAATTCATTTTGCAATGGGCTAGTCATGTGCATWATTGGATTTTTAATGGCAGTCATATTGTGGTTATGGCTCATAATTTTGTCATCGTTAGTATATAAAAATAGCACATATTTGTTTTACCTTTATATATTATTATTGTCCGGATTTATATGTAAATGCATGCTTTTATGTCTTTTGTTTAAATTAATTATAACTAAAACTATGTATACAGCCATACTGCAGGTATAATATATATATGTGTAAATTCAAATACTAATATGTACTCACATATTTTTGTACATTTCTAAATAAATTCTTACAAGTAGGGTAGGTATGTTATAAAATTATTTATTTTTATTTTTATTTTATTAGCTGCTAGTAAATACTATTATACCTAAAATGTATAGGTACTGTAATTTATCTAAAAATGCAATGCTATAATTTTTCTTTGACTAATCATACTAAATGTATTGTTAAAATATAATTTTAAATTTACGAATTTTAAGTAAATGTTAGTAYAATTGCATAACAACAGTTCATACTGCAGGAACAAATTTCATATCAATAAATATAATAAGACATTTTTCATACTTATGCATCTGTATGTGCACATTTTACGTGTTTTTTTGCATATAAATCCGAATGACCGGCTCTATAAACAGTATAAACTTATAAACAATGTACCACATATAACACCATAATTTACCTCAAAACGCATTTTTATTTACAGGATATGTAAACGCATGAACATGATGATAAGCATGAACAAKAACTATTTGAACGTAGCCGATGATATCAACACTGCATTTGTTGTCTAATAAGACTGCTTAATTTATGTTTAATAATATTAAAAATACTTGCTATACTTACTACTGTTTATTATTGTCTTATGATATTTTAAAATTTGCATTACCTATCATAAAATATAACGATAATAGAAATCATAAAAAAACAATTAATGATGATTATAATTATAAAAATTATGTATGAACTAATAACATATGAAAATAATTGATTCAATATTTACATAGTTAGTAATTGGTATGAAATTGAATTGTATATATTTAATAGGTACTATACTTATACATCACATATAATATACCTGAGGCTCTGAGTAGATGTTCCGTGCATACTGAGGAATGTTTAGAAGTTCTGTATCATTCAAAATGTTAAATATCTCTTCATTGTATGATATACGTACTTGTTCTTAATATTAAAATAATTCAATTGATATAACTATGAAAATGTTTTGTTCATATATTGATGTATCTGGATGAGAGCTGCATGAATACATTAATAATGAATAAAATAAAAGGCATAATACCTACGAAATATTCTGTCGGCTGACGGCGGTAGTTGCTAGGTAGGTATATAATATACACCAGCTGTAACAAGTGGAAGTAAGGCGTATTTGATACTAAATACTTATAGAGAAAAATGTTGTCCTTAGTAAATTTAAATAATATTAAAATAATTATTTGGGCCCAATGGAATTGCAAATCAATAAATCTGGTGTGACTAAAAATTAGGCTTATAATGTATTATATTCTTCTTGTTAGGTTAAAAATTTGAGTTATGGTCATTATATCGTTTCACCCTAAAAAAAAATGAGAGAATATCCACTCCATACAAATACATTGTTACATGTGWCATGTATAATGTCTTGTGGCTACTGATTTTAGTTGACATCGGACATAGGAAGTAATAAGTTATCAATATAATTATAAATTATGAGTTACTATAGCTGATCCCTGTGTACTTCGTTGACCGTTGAAGATACCAACTCTATTTGATTCAAAATTTGTGTTTAATTCGTTGTTTAATACCCAGCTAGCCATGTTCAAAACTTCCCGTAACGAATTCCTGTGGATTTACTAAATCTTAATCTCCAATAAAGATTTTTAACAACTACCGATCGATCTTTTTCAGGGGGCCATAACTCCATAGAAATGGCGTTGTTATAACAAAAAAAAAACCCAAAATATCAATAAAAACTTTTAATGTCAGAGACGCACGTGCTATGGAAACAAATAATTAAAAATTCAGGGATGATAATAATTTCTTTTACATTAATTATTATTATTGAAACTAATAATAGCAACCATCTATAAACTAATATTTCCATCGTGAATCAAAAAATGTATGAGGGTACCTCCCGGGGTGGGACTTATCATTTTTTAACTTAGCCTATCTTCTGTTCATAGGTTTAATTAGTGTCGTAGTCGTAATAAAAGCAGAAAGTGGTAAAGACTATAAAAAACTATGGAATATAACAAAATTAGTTTCTGAGAAAAAAGCTAATACTTTTACAATTAATCAAGTAAGATAATTCTGATAATTTAATTATAGCTAAGGATGAAATTTGCGATATATTCAATCAAATATATTTTAATAATGTTGTAGCTACTATAGAAAAAAATATTAAATCATCTAATTTTAACTGTAAGTCATTTGAATGTTTTAACAACAAGGGTGATMATTTATATCAGATTCAATTTTTATTAATGTAATAATTTATTTAATACTAATAAATAATGTTGAAATTGAAAATCTATTAAAATCAATAAATTATCACTCTTTCTTTTATGAATCGGGTTTATCTAATAATAATATTTTACTACAAGTTTCTCAATCTATATCCTACCCATTTTCCTATCTTTTCAATTTAGCAATTTCTCTAGGTACATTTCTAAATAATTTCAAAAAATGTGTTATTTTTCCTTTGTATAAAGCAGGCTAATTCTAAAAAATATAGAATACCACAGTTTTTAAACAAAGATAAATTCTCAAAAAATCAATTTTGATTTTAAAATGGTAAATAAACTAACGCTGCATTATTTTTTTAAATTCAATTTATACAATATGAAAGATTAGACAGTGACTCCAAGWTTCTAGGATTATTTCTAGATATTAAAAAGCATTTGATTGTGTTAACCATAATGTACTTTAAAAAAACTTAATTATTGTGGTTTAAGAGGCAAAGTGTATGATTTATTAAAATAATACCTTTCTAAAAGCATACAAATAGTTAAATTAAATAATTCAGTAAGTACATCTCTTGATATAACGCATGGTGTTTTCCACAAGCCACTGTTCTTAGACCTCTGTTTTTCATTATTCATAAGGTGTAAAAYACTCATTATTTATAAAAACTATTTACTTTTTTCAAAATTTTAGATCTATGCTGTTCTAAAACTATATAAATTTTTAATATTTTTCACCCTTATATTTATTAGGTAAACCACTATCAACTTTTTATTTTTAAATGGCAACCTATATTAACAATATCATAAATTAAAAAGGCTATTTTTTTAATGAATTTCCACGTTTAAATTTTCATTTTTCGTTAATCCGTTGACAAGATAATAGTCTCCCAAAATTAGATAGTTTTGGGGTGGTGTTGTGTATAAATGCGTGTTATACCATGTCTAACAAATAATTTTACTAATAATAAACAATTTAAATAATTTKCTCAACAGATTTTATATGATTAGTTATAACTTTTAACAAATTATAATTATTAATAAATTAACAATTTAATTTATATCTATTAAAAATTACCATTAATTTTTTGTGTGTGTATTAAAATGGTGGTGAATAAGTTTTTTTTTGTTAAATTAAAAAAAATCGGGGGAGGGGGAGGGGGTTCAGAACCCTAGAACCCTACC